GCAAGTTGTACCCATAGTTTGTTTGTAAAAAGTTTTAAAATTCTCCTAATTTTATTGTTTTAATTATTCACTTTCAAACTTGCCCCCTCCATCAGTGCGCGTTATTGCAACTGTCCACCTCTCCCTGCCTTACGATTTTTCTTGTCTCCAAAATTTTTTTCTGGTCAAAACTAAGTGTGGATTCGTTTATACCAGACACTAGACAATGTCATATAAAAACATCAGTTGATTTAAAAATGTCGACCAGCCACCCTTTGGTCGATCTTATCTGAAATCACCCAGTTGCGTCTGCTCTGCATACGAGCCTAAATGGCGGCGCCCACAACAATGTTGGGGAACGGAGTGCCGATACCACTGATCTCAATGACAATTGCTGGATCGCGCTTGCCGCTCCCGCAAGTGAAGCCACCGGACCTAGAGCCACTCCATATGGCAGCGTAGCTGCCAGAGTAGCGACACGACGCAAAATTATCTAGACACACGACGTCAGAAGCGCCTATAGTGATCTCCATTTTGGGCCTGGGAGGTTTCTATGGTAACCGTACTGCTAGCGCCGCCGGGCGGCAACCTTTATCTAGTTGATATCTCCATTCGTTAATTGAAAAGTGGTAAAAGACCTAAAGGACGCTTTGCATGGCGGTACGGCACGGGCCTCTGGAGGAGCGGTGCCCGTTTCTTCTGTGAAATGAGACGATTTGCAGCGTGCACGGAGAAGGAGAGTGGTTTTCTGCGCCGCCGGGGTGGCGGCGGCTTCGTGGGACGAAAGTACTGTCCTTGTACTTTCGGACTTCGCTCCTATGGAACAAAATCCGATTGCGCCGGCCACGACAGGACGATTGCCTTGGGACATGACTGCTGCTCGACTGCCCCATAGTAGGAGAATGTATGCTTAGCATCATAATTCTTCAAGACCCAGTCATTCATTCAAGATGAGATTATTAAACCAACTGGCAGGGAGCGACGGTATCAACCTCATTTTGGGCGATGAACAGTCGACGGGATTAAACCAAGAAGGACAGCACGGTGGTCTACAGAGGATTGTTAACGCCATCAAAAGAGACGGACGCCGGATATGAGGTGTTCATGCCGACAGGCCAAGTGGTCGTCCGGAAGTTTACCGGCATGCAAAGTGTCAATATTTTTATCTGGTGTAGCATGCATACCCGTGTTAAAGAGGCCATGAAAGGATTCTTTAACTTCTTCTTCCTTAGCTTTAATCCTTAACTCAAAAGAGAACAGTGGAATCACGCGGTCGTGACATGCTAGGGCACCGGTGCGATGACCCCAAGCTTCCACCGTGCTTTTTAAGCCCACCATAGAACTTGTCATTCGCAAGTGCACTCATGTGTACTCATTGGCCACGAACGCCAATTCAAATATTCATCGACGAATTAATTGTTGACGAGCGCATACGTCCGAGTGACGCAGTTTTCGTTTCGAATGTGTGAGCTGGGGTCGGCTGACGTCATTTTAGCTTTTGTTGGCATTGCAAAGAGGATATTTAGAACCATACACACATGATGATAGCATCATAGCGCACGGACATTAATGAGTACAAAAGGGGCCCAGCTACAGAAAATAAATATTACACTCGTTAAAAGTAATTGTCTGTAACTTGTTAATTACAAAGACGAACACACCTCTGAGCATATAAATTTAATAGTGTGTGTTGATGCATTCTTATAGAGCAGGTCATTTCATATACGTCATTTGAGCAAACGCCAGCTTGTCACTTGAAAAAAAAACAAAAAAAAAACACTGCGATCAAATGCAAGCTATTGCAACGAAAGGACGTTTATCAAAGTCTTCAGAACTGTCAATTCGTAAAGTCGTCGATTAGTACAAAAGGTTAAAGGTCGCAGGCGCTTCCCCGCTTAAAGTTGCTGTGATTATTCGGTGACCCAGGGCTGAAACAACTTCCCCTAGGCCCTACACACGACGTATACCTTTCGTTTCGATTCTCAGATATTCCAACATTCAAAGGGAGCTAGAAAATGCGAAAATGTTATCCTAAAAGCTATATCGTAAGATCGTTGATTAGTACAAAACATAAAGATCGCAGGAGCTTCCTCGCTAAAAGTTTGTGATTACGCGGTTACCTGGGGCTGAAAGAACTTCCCCAAGGTCCAACATACGACGCATACAATTCGCATTGATTCTCAGACATTCCAACGTTCAAACAAGGCTAGGCGTATCCGAAAATTGCATGCAAAATGTCATATCGATCCTCGAACACATCCAGGATTACGAGCACCGCTACGGCGATATGACTGATGCTGTCGCACAGGTGCTAATATCCAGAGCGATCTTGCACAGAGTATGAAGTCCCATTCTTTCAGATCTTCACGTTATACCTGCGTCAGAGAGCACGAAGAAGTCCGAAATCGTCGGCAAGCAGCGGCACATTACGGCTACCGCGCACCGAACAAACTCGTAGCCACCAGCTCTGGGCGCTGCCATCTTACTGGTGACATCACGGCTCTTGCGAGGTCACGTGACGAGTAGTCACTCGGTTGCTAAGGAAACCGAGCCAGCTCAGCTCGTTGCTATGGTACCGCGTGTGACCAATCACGGTGAGAGGCGGCACAGGGAAAAGCGTGGCGCTACTCTGGCAGCTACGCTGCCATATTGAGTGGCTCTAACCGGACCCAACCCCGCTGGGATACGATTTCCCGTTTTGCTAGCCTTTTGCTGCGGTTTTCCAGCGTGCTGTAGACACGTTTTCTACTCGTTCGTCGTCATTCGCCGAGGAAGTTTTGGAGACTCTGTGTATTGTTGAGACTTGCCGTCGTGAACACGTGGAAAATTTTACGAAAGCGCAGTGTCGCAGGAAAAAGGCACAACTCGTCGAAAGCAAGGGTCTGGCGGCGTGTTCAAAGCTTCCTTGGCACGCCAAAGTGCCGTGTCTCTGTGCCTTCGCGCGCTTCGATACCGATCAAGAATCGACGCCGTGTGGATGTGTTTTGCGAGTGCAATGTGCGTGAAGCCGTATCAAAAGGTACAACTCGTCGAAAACAAGTGTCGCCGGTGTCACGGCGTGATCAAAGCTTCCTTGGCACGCCGAGTGATGCCTCTTTGTGCCTTCGCACGCTTGAATACCGGTCAAGTATTGACGCCGCGCCAAAGTTCTGAACGTGTGTCGCGCGTAGATGCCTTTAGATCATTTATATATATCGGACACGGAGTTCTGGATCATCCAGCTGTTCCGGTGAGTTGCTATCAATAAAAGGGGGAGATCCGTACGTGTTCTTATGTACTATATTAACCATGGCTATGTCCCAAATCTACTGTAATAGATTCCGTGGGAGCACGAATAGGGCAACGTTGTGGAGCCAGGGGGGTTTTCGAAAGCAAAAGTACAAGACGGCGAGAATGAAAATCTTTGAAGCGCGGCCGATATGGTCGTGTGCAATCTGTTGACCAATTACAATTAGGCGAGCCGCGCTCAAACTTCAAGTGCAATTAAGTAGGTTGATAATAAGCCAGCACTGATCAGTGATGGGGAGCTGTTGTGCACGGTATTGTGTAAATCGTCTAAGGACGAAAAAAAGACGTACCTTCCCCCCATCTTCCGTCGCTAGTGGACGCTGGATTAAGCTCGTTCCTAAACCGCGAGGGGAAAAGACGCTGATCCAGAGGCACGAACAGCTTCACGCACATTGCACTCGCTAAACACATACACACGGCGTCGGTTCTTGGTTGGTATCCAAGCGTGCGAAGGCACAGAGACACGGCACTTCGGCGTGCCAAGGAAGCTTTGAACACGCCGCCAGCCCTTCTTTTCGACGCGTTGTGCCTTTTTCTTGCGACACTGCACTTTCGTAAAATTTTCCACGTGTTCACAACGGCAAGTCTCAACAATACACAGAGTCTTCAAAAAACTTCTTCGTCAAGTGACGACGAACGAGTAGAAAACGTGTCTACAGCACGCTGGAAAACCGCAGCAAAGGCTAGCAAAAACGGCAAATCGTATCCCAAGCGAGTGAAGTTCGGTGGCTTCACTCGCGCAGCAGCGAACAAGCGGGGAAGCGCGATCCAGCAATTGTCATAGAGATCAGTGGCCGATACTCTAAGCGTAGCTCATTTAGTGGCTCTAGGAAGATCATGGCGGCACAGCGCAGCTTTGAGCTAGATATCAGACGCCATGTTCTTCCCAGAAGTGAATATGAACCAAAAGTGGAAAGGAAAACTCTACATAAAGCTAGAAAAGAAATCCTTAAGGACAGGCGAAGAATCTCCTCTTTTCTACCCTCACCATCATATACACATTCAAGAGAAGAGGCAACCCTCATTAGAAAAGCACAAACACACACTTTACTCACTGAGCAGTATATTCATTACTTCGCCAATGCTCCAGGACACCCCAGCTGCTCCCACTGCGGTGGATACCCCTCGAACCAGCATACATTCTGGGACTGCCCAGCAGCCCACCAGAGTCGACATGAATCCCTCTCCCAGTTACCCCACGACCTCACTCCAAGCGGCTGGGAGGAATGGCCCTCCCCCCCTCCAGAACTCCAGAAGTTGTGGTGGCCATCCCTCGTTCATCACATTCAAACTATGATGGGTGACGGAGACCAGCACCGCTACATAGGCCCGGACCTGGGCTAAGATCGAAGAGCTTCCACTCTTCGGTTAAAATAAAGTTTCTCTCTCTCTCTCTCTCTCTGGCGCGCGGCACGTGTGCACGAGCAATTCCACAACAATTAATGGCGCCACTTTTCACTGGATAGAGGGGCTTTAGCTGTAGCTGGTACGTGGTAAGTGTTAGGCGTTAGATGTAGACTGCTTGCTAGCGAAGGCTAGCCTGCAGTTTGCAATACAATCTCTGCAATGCAAGTGTGCACGTAGCATTGAATAAGAAAACTAAAATCGGGCAGCCTTCAATGGACTTTGGTTTTACAGATATCGTAAATTTAATTGCATAATATTATAATTTATATCCTTCCATTGCGTAGTGATGTCAAAAGTGATTATACCGTCTCGTCTGGTTCGCTGAGGTGCGCATCACCTGATGCGACCATATCAGACGCATAGATGACGCGCACATTCCACAATATTGTCCAAGACACAAAGCTGCAGGCGTCGGCGCAATGGTCCCTTGCAGAGGTTCCATTCAACCGACGACCAGGCAGCTCAGGCTGGGCGCAAGATGGCGCAGGGTCGGGGGGCCACCATGGCCTGTCCTCGCTGGCAGCCCCAGTGCTGACTAAAGGGCGGCCAGTTCCGCAGCGGCACGTTGACTCGTTCGTGACCTGGTAGCGGGGATGACATCCGCCGCAGGGCCTGGCCATCGGCACGCTGGCAGTTGTCCAGCGCGTAGTAGACAAAGAACAGCTGGTCAGACGTCAAGTGCTCCAGACCCCTAAGCCGGAAGTCCACTCCCCAAATGCGCCTGGTGTCGAGAGCCTCCTGCAACACAAGGCAGTCTCTTGGGCGTCGTCATGTCAAAATATCGTAAGCTCGAACCAGTGTTGGCGGTAACGCGTTACAAGTAACGCCGTTAACGGTAACGTAGGAACGTACTCTTTACTTTTTTTTCAAAACAGTAGGGAGCTTTCGTAGATCGTTTTCCCTACTCCGCTGCGCTCTCCGCATCGAATACTCTACTAGTGCGCATACGCGCCGCTGGCCTTGACTGCAGAGTTTCGGATATCGTAGCGCGTTGCGGAGAGCGTTGCGGGGCAGAAGAGATCATCTACGAAAACCCCCTAGGAACGAGCAACGTACTTGCGTCATTTTTCTTCCCAAAACATTAAAAAAGTGTGTGTGTTAGTAAGCGCCCAGTTATAAATGAATCATAAATAATGATTCACCCCCCTCCCCCCCCCCCCCCAAAAAAAAAAAAAAGCAAAAAAAAAATTTTTTTTTTTTTTTTTGTACAAGAACATTCCTGCTTGACGGAAAGCCCAACGCCCCCTCCAGTGACCCTGTTTCGATGAAGGCTATCGCGGTCAACGGTCTTTGTGCAAGGGGGCAACCTGCAATCCTTATCGTTCTGCGCCAAAGAATGCGCAATTGCCGGTGGTATTTCCTAAAACGTACAGAGTACGGATCTTCAAGGTCGTGCACCACTTGTCAGAGCTGAAGACAATAAATACTCCCCCGAAAGTAATTCGAAATCAGTTGTACTTCTCTATGTTATGAACAAAACGTATTCAAAGTTTTAAACTCAGGTGGTCTTACTTTGTCTGCGAATGCGGGAGGCCGGTTCTTCTGTTAAAGGGACACTGACACCCCCCAAATTTTATTTCTTTTGCCAGGCGATTCATTATGGTGTCATAAGACTGCCACATCAATATTTTGCTGCAGCGTGACGTATATGTTTGATGAAGTCAGAAAATGCAACTGCACGAAACCAAAAAGGTGGTGGAAGTCACGTGGCTGTCATACTTTTGTTCTCCCGAAAACAAGGTATTTGGAGCTTTTTAGAAGCCACGAAAAAATGGGTATTATATTTACTAAGATTGAAGCTTGGGCGAGTTGGTACGACATCTAATCCGTCGTCTTATTGCGTTTTTTTTTTAATCTTTTAAGTATCATATTTGTTTTGTATTTTTAATATTGTGTGTGTGCCTTCGATGACCTACGACTTTGATTATAGTTGGTGGTTGACTTTAAACCATAGGAAACGGCACGTGGCCACGGAGTAGAGAGTGCAACTCAAACCAGTCAGTACTCGATCGGCTGTTTTCGGTCGGAAAGAAAACGAATTTATAGCCGCGATTGTTTTCTGGCTAGTTGGACTCTCATATGTAACGTACAAATAAAAACCTTGGCGATCATAAATACCCTTTCAGTGTCCCTTTTAAGTTCCGTGCCAATATGTCACAAATCAGGCTCATAGGAGTGTATACTTTTGCGTTTGGTTTTTACTATTCAGGTGGAACCATAAAGAAGCGGGGTTTTGATGACTCATATCATCAAAACCCCACTTCCCCTACAAAAGCGAACGCAGCAGGAGAGGAAGACTACCTGGGAAACTCATTTGCAAATGGACGCACTTTTGTGTCCTGTGGGGATGATGAGCTTTTGCGGTACCTTCTGGTGCCACACAACAAATAAAAAGCAACGTGCGTTACTTTTGTCGGTAACAGTAACGGTAACACGTTCCTTCTGTTTTCAGGTAACGTAGGTCGGCAATGGGTTCCTTTTATTTGCAAGTTACGAGTAACGTATTTCGCTACTTTTTTTTCTTCGGTAAGAACCATGGTGATACTTTCAGGCCCTGCCAGGAAGCCATGAACTATATAAACTGGAGGTTCGCAACATCATTATTCATCTAACGCTGCTTCATCGAATATCGTTTCATCAAATAAGGACCTTTCATCGTACGCCCATTCATCGAACTCCCTTTCATTGAATCGTGTGACGCAGTTTCATCCGAATTTCACTTCACCGAATTTCGGAGCATTATGGTGCGTTTTAGACCATATTTACTCTCTATCTCTCTCCCTCTCTCTTTCTCTCTTTCGTCTGAGTTGTTTCCACGCTGCTGTCAAATCTCCAGAAATAAAATTACTACCGTGGTCACTATTTCACCAAAAGTTTAGTTACTGAATCATAGAACATAACAAAACATGAGTGGGTAGTAATTAGTATTTTCTGTTTTCAGGTAAGTTGTTCACGCGTAAATGGTAGATCCGGAAGGTTTCGTCGTACACATGTACGACGAAACGATCCGACGTGCGGACTGCCGGAATGACCTAGGGGGGCGATGGTTTTCGTAGCATCGGAGAGCGTTGAAAACCTTTGCCTCCGACCGTCGTATTGCGTGGTCGGACGTCGGATCGGACGGTTTCGTCGTACATGTGTTTCGTGCTTAAGACTATTCTTCGTTGTGCTTTTTTTTTATCTATTTACTTGAGTTTTCAATCTATCCTAGGAGAATCGCTTTCTTCCTAAGAACAAAGGTTGAAAAACCCGTAAATCCACGATTCTGTCGATGACAAACACAAAAAAGAAAGACACGCCATTTTTTTCTTCTGTTTCATGCTACAGCCATGGATACATGTCATTGGTTCAAGGATGACTTTGTGCATAGAGCAGAATACTGTAAGTCTCTTCTAGAGCGGGGATAGACCCTTGAATGTATGCACCTTCGTCACGACACCCGATGATCACAGGTTGCATAAAATGTCTAGGAAAATGTTCCCGTTTATTATTAGCTACATTAGCAGCGGAAGTCATCAGTTACTATAACAAATAGGTATATCGGAGAAAATATAGTTCCTAATTTTTAGTTCCCCTCTCTGTAGGAAAAGAAAGGTCTTCTATCCTTCCGGTATTAAAATAGAACTATTTCCTAGATCCAAAATTCCTACTGCTTAAATAGGCGGTGTTCGATCAAACGACGATCAATGAAATTCTTTCGATAAAATGCCGTTCAATGAAATGGCTTCGATGAAACGGTATTCGACGAAGCGGCGTTCGGTGAAATACCCGGACTCAATATGGGTATATTGTCACGGGTGGTGACCAAAAAAACAGGAAATAAACAGGAAGAAATAAACGTTTAATGTGGCGAACTTGTGCCAAAAATAAAAGGGTACAAAGATAATAACAAAGCGTCGCGGGCATCGAAGTCTGCGTAGCAGCACAGTCGAACGCTGGGGCGAAACTGACCCCGCTCGCCTTGCGGAATCCCTTATGTACCCTCGTGGGTTTCTGGATCGTTCGGCGTAAAAGGTTCGGCGCGTAGAACATTCTGACCTCGAACAAGCCACATGGTTCTCGAATTTACCAGAACATTACTTTACAGAGTCGACAAAAATGCGCCCCCGCGGCTAGGAATCGAACCCTGGCTTCCAGCGTGGAAAGCACGCGCGATAACCGTTAGACCACAAGCACGCTGCCTTCTTGGTCAGCTGCGCTCACGGCAATATAGTATCAAGAAAGTATCGGGTAGTGGGGAGAGAGGATGGGGGATGGATCGAACATAAGCCCCCCTCCCCTGTAGCTACGCCCCTGGTTCCATGGATCCTTTAACTCAAGCTACCTCGAAGCATGGTCATTAACATGATTATGATTATGATAAGCATCTGATCAATTGAAAATAATGTTAGGTTATGTTAGATCAGGTTAGGTTAAGTCAGATCAGGTTAGCTGGTTTAGGTTAGGTTAGGTTAAGGCACCGTTTTCTTACGTTACGAAGTGTGCTTATCCTTAAGGTCGGTTCACGCAGGGGCTTTTGATTATTATTTCTTACATTACGTGAGGAATCACTGGGACATTCGTACGTCGCGTCCAAAGCTACTCATTGAACCGGTCACCACGCTTCATTCGTAGTACGGATGTTCCGGTGACTCGCGGCGTAAGGGGTCGTAACGTATCATAACGTAACGTAGGAAAACGCCCCTGTGTGAACCAACCTTTACGTCGAGATACTACCGCAAGTCACCAGCACATCCGTGCTTCATATTCCGCTTGCTAAGCTTCCCATTACCTGGTTGCAATGCTTTGTACGAAACACGGATGTGCCTGTGACTTGCGATCGTAAGTGTACGTAAATTTCGTAAGGAAACAGGGCTGTGTGAACCAGCCTTTACGTTTAATTAGGTCGGCTAAATACAAGGAGAGTGTCTGCACCTCGAGGCCCGAATGGGCGAGTGCCAGGGCCAGCGTCTGGTCTAGCAGCTTCCAGCGCACGGGCTTGTGGACGAAGCCGCTCTTAAGCGCCGTCGGCATGCCGTCCAGGTCCGTCTGGAGGCAGTCGGCGGCTCTCCCGAGCCGTTCCTCGTACGCCATGGACACGGGGACCTCTTCGGGCAGGGTGGGCCGATCTCGGAGCAGCTCGGCCAGCGCGGCAAACAGCCGCACCGCCACACGGGCCGTGTGCAGGGCGCGCAGGGAACTGTTCAGCCGCACGCTAGCGTTCACCAGGCCCGGCGGAAGGCGCAGGGCACCGCTGGGCAGCCAGGCAGGGAGCACGTCCAGCGCAGAACCCGCCGAGCTGCGCGCGCGAGTGCGCAACATAATAAGACGCGTTTCTCGCCAATAATAAAGTATGTACACGTGATGTCATTGAATCATGCTGGTGCATGCTCACTGTTGCTTCTTCTTCCCGAGAGGAAAAAAAAGAATTCAATGGTGCAAAATGTGCGCTGTCAGGTACGCGCTCAGCATCAAGGCCACAGCAAAGTCCCTGCGTGGACAATGGGACGGCTCTCTGGGGTAGATGACCGATCCCCCGTGATAGATTCATCGGCATGGCCCAAAATATTACAGCGAAGCTGTTTATGGCTAGGGTTCCGTGCATTTTTGGTGTGCGTCAACAAAAACTCAGAGCGGGCTCGCAGCGCCCTCTCTTTGTCGTCGTTCCAGGCGCTTGCGTGCCTAATTTCCTTTTCTTCCGTCGGGTGGCGGTCCCGTCGCGCGTGTCTAGTTTCCACCGGCTCCTCGGGGCGGCGATAGTCCTCGACATGTGTGTGCGTACATTTCGTCACGATGACCACCGATCAAGAAAAGAAATGTGTTCGTACCTTTGTTCAAAATTTCGTGTCACGCCTGTGTCGTAAGCTAAACAGCCTCGCTGGTAATTCACCTTCACAGAGTGCAATGGCTCCTAGTGTTTTGTAATAACGTTTCTTCGACGATAAGAGTTACTGGTGATAACAAGACATTGCAGGTGAAACCGTGGATCCTTCTTTAGTTACAGTTGTTCAGAATAATAGACCCCTTTCAAAAGTCACCTGCCAATTATTAGAGGGTCGGAACGCCTGCACAATGGCGGAGTGACTGCATCGAGGAACGTGCAAGTCATTCCATAAGATAGCGAACGTCGGAGCGCGGCCAACACTATGAGCCGACGAGCCAATCAAAGATCGTCGAAAGTGCCACGTCACTGCGATCATCACCCTTTTAGTGGGTGTGTTTTTTCCAGTGTGCCGTGACGTTGAGGTTTTAGTCCGCCATTGCGCAGGGATTTCACAGCTGCCAACAGAGTGCAAGTAACGTATTTTGAAAGGGGTCTTTTATCATAAAAAAAAATAGTGAAAACATGTTAGCTTTTGCCACAGTAAGGCTTTATTGTCACAGAAGCACGATAACCGTGAAATGGAAGCTTGTGGTGGGGATGACTCTTAAGCGCGAGACACATGCGCGAAAAATCCATCCGATCCGACGTCCGATCCGGCAGTACGACTGCCTGATCCGAAAAATTTGGTCGCATCAGACGTCGGATCGGCGATCCGACATGCGTCCAACGCGCCAGATAGTTTCGCACGGCGGACGGATTGTCGGATGCGTCCAGCCAATGACAGCACAGCTAGCGCGAACGTCATGGTGACGTACTGGGACGATTCCCAGTACGTCACCATGACGATCGGACGATTCTGCCGTCCATGTGTCTCGCGCTTCAAGCGCCCTTCACAGATATGCAACCGAATAAAACCGAGGTACCGGACCGGTTTTTAAGCCTCTTGCTACGTCTTGGGACCGGATCTGCTGCAGCGGAGCTGGTTCTAAAGGCCCGTTCACACTCTTGCAACCGAGTACGACCGAGAGAGACCGAGACTTGTTGAAGGGGTACTCCGTCCGTTTTTTGAGCTACCTAAACAAATGGCATTTTCTGACTAACGGACTTCAGTCGTCATGGTATGCTATTTATATTCTCGAAATTCAAAAAAGCAATTGGGAAAACCGTAAATGAAGATGATGCCGAAACCAGCATTCAAATTTTCGTGCGCTCTTCAGTGGTGTGACGTCACACAGGATACAGACTTTCAAGTCGTGCATATAGTCTTAAACAGAGTATGCCGAGTGTTTTTTGCGTGCTTCTCAGTGAATCACTTACCAAACATTCTTTTCCCACCATCAAACGTCTTGTAATCAGTTGGGAACATGGCTTACTGCCCTCTTTGTACCATTTCTGTCGTCACACTTCAATGTTGCCAGTATCCCTACTGGCAACATTGTAGCCAGTAGGGCTACTGGCAACACGATGAAAGCGATATTGGAAAATTATATAACTTCGCGCTTTTTTTTTCACACAAAACTTGGGGACTCATAAAGCATCAGAGACCATGAAAAAATCGCCGGAGTACCCCTTTAAAACCTCTTCAAATTTCTTAGGACGACAGAACACACAGGCACAATGGCGCCATCTATACGGTGACCCTGGAACTTCATTTCACAAGAGCGAAGGTTTTGCGTGATTTCCGAGGTCAAATGTGCGTAAGACCTACAAGAAAGGCTCGTTTATAACGTTGACAAAAGTTTTTCGAGCCAAGGAAGAAAGGATAACGCGGAAGAGAAATAGAAAATACGCCGGACTGCCAAGTGTACACTGCTACCCAATAGATGGCGCCAGTGTGTCCTCTCGTAAGAGGTTTTAAGGGACCCAGGTTTTAAGAAGTCGCAAGAGTGTGGAGGCCCTTAAAGGGCCTTTAAGGCCCTTAAAGGGATGGTGAACCGAAATTTGGATTTCCAAAAAAAACAATGCAGGAGATGTAGGCGGGACGCTACAATCCCTACAATACTACTTGCAAGGCGATATCTCGAATGGACGGCCGTATTTCGGGAAAAAGAGGTCGAGATTGAACCAGGCCGACGAAGCGCGTGACGTCAATATACCGTGTTTCCTCCTTTCGGTTCAGCATCCCTTTTTAAGAGGTCGCAAGAGGCTTAAAAACCAGTTTGAACACTCTCGGTCTAACCCGATTGCGTATGTGTGAACGGCGCTTTACCCGCGGATACAAAATTTTGTTTTTTATGCTTCTCTATATCTGAGGCTTTCAGCCCCTTTATGTCCTGCCCCAGCCGAGTCAGACTAAGCAGATTATCCGTCGCCATGATATTACCATTTCTGTTGTCCGGATCGAGGTAAAAACTTGTAATTTGAGGAGGGGAAAGAGCACAGCTCCATACGCACAGCGCTTTCAAAAAGCAAGCGCGTGTAAGCGAAAGCTGACTTCTGATCCTTAACAAAATATGTGATCATTCGAGCACTGCGAGCTAGAGTGGAGAAATTGTTTCGTGATCCCTTCAAGCTGCCGCTCCGAATGCACTGCGGGGCCACCAACATGCGGGCCCCCCGCAGAAGTTGATAACATGGCGACTTCTGCGAAATTGACGGCACCTAGCGGCACGGAAGGTGTCACGGCAAATTCGCTCGCCAGTTTCCTCGAGGGACTCAGATTTCCACAGCACCCGGCGGTTTAAAGACGAAGCCGTGAAAGTAGGTTCATAAACGCGTCATGAAAATTGCCAATCAAGCACGCTACAACGTCGAGAATCAAATTCCTTTGACACACACGCACCGATCCGCGGCAGCCGACGCGTCCCTTAGTCGCAGCAGCGGGTCCAGCGCTCTGGCCACGCGGCCCCGCAGCAAGTCGTGGTGCCGCTTCCAGATCTGGTCGCGCACCACCCGCGCCGGGAAAAACCTGGCCAGCGGTGTGCTCTGGAGCCTGGCGGCGAGCAGCCGAGCCTCCAGCACGTCCGCCGATGGCCCGTGCGAGCCCACGGCCAAAAGCCGGGGCAAGCTGCGCAGGAAATGGTCCTCTAGTTGCTCGGACCAACTCCGAGCCAGCGTCATTGGTCCTAGGACGTTGTACAGGGCGCGCAAGAACAACAGGGGCACCGCGTTGCCCACGGCCCGCGGACACAGCCGTGTCCGGTCCACCAGAGGCGGTTGCAGGGCGGCCGCGTACGCTCGTTGTAGAGAATCCGGCGTTCCGGACAAAAAGGGCGAGGCCCAGAGGACGGCTCGGAAGCCCAGGTAGAGCATGGCCCTGGTCGGGTCGGCTGCGACCAGTTCGTCGATCTTGGCCAGGTCCAGCAAGAGTAGCACGCCGGTGGCCGACGGATTGACCGCCTTCAGGAGGGCCCTGGGTCCCGCGTGGAGATCGGTCAGAGGCGTGGGTTCCCAGGGCGCCCGGAAGGGAGTTCGGCCAGCGGGTGAGACAGCTTGGGAGAGGCTGCGCATGACCGTGCTCACTTCGACGGACAGGAGGTGGGCGTCGGCGGCTGGAGAGACCAGGGTCACGGCGTCCCTGACGGCCTCCTGCGAGCGAACCTGCTGCGAACTGAACATGGCTTGCACGACCCGCAGTACTGGGGCTTTATTTCTATTATTTTATTTCGGAATACTGCCAACCTCCGTAGGGATTATAGCATTATTGGGGTACAAGAGAAACACAACATAAATATACAATTTAAGATAACCGAGAGTAAACAGAAACAAAAGTTGCGTGTCTTTCTTAAAAAAAAAAAAGAAAACGTATCAATTCATAGATTGACAAATAAGTTGGTTTTCAATGGTACCAATAAACAAGTCCATACTTGCATAACTAAAAAACTATGTATCTAGTTTGTTCCGGTCTATTCCTTCCTCCTATCTTCTTGTGCTCGAGGCACTGGGCGAACCAGGTAACACTGAAGCCCCTTTATCCTGAGAAAAGTGGCGCCATTCATTGTTGTGGAAATACTCGAGATGGCGTGCCGTGCGCCACCTCTGGGAAGACCATGGCGTCTGAAATCAAGCTCAGTGCTGCGCTGTGCCGCCATGATCTTCCCAAGGGCTGCACGTAGCACGTGCCTCGAGCATCGACGCAATTTGCGCTACTTTCGAAACATGAAGGGGCTTTAGGTAACACCACGTGGGTAACACAGTCGAAAGAAAAATGGTGACAGACATTGTTTGCGTTAGACTGCGTTCGCGTGTGTGTCCATTCAGCAGACGCCTCATTGCCATGGTGATGGCGACCATAGCGGACGGACTTCATTGTG